TATTAATGCGATATATAGCCTCCGCTCTTTCTTGCCAATATCCTACGCTTCTCTATCCCTCTCATGAACCTGAAATTTGCGACTTACTTTTCGTATTGTTGACTTCATAATAGCCGCATGCCTTCCTTTTCTGCTTTAACCTCTTTCAGGATTTTTTTACTTTCCGTATTTATCATTTACATACGTACATAACTTCATTCGTAATGTGAGTGCATTATGAGTGTATTGCTGTTGTTGCAACCACACCAACACACAAGCATATGCATACCTCTTTGTCTTGGCGCGTTCTGGAATAAGTAGTTCATGTGAGTGTTTTTTTCTGCTCAATGTTTTCGTTATTACTTTATTCTTTTGTTGAGGTTTCGAAGGAGAAGACTTTGTGGCATGCAAACTCAGAAAAAGGTGTGCAGTTTGAAATGGTGGCATTCATCTTTACATACCATGGCACATGTGTGCTATGGTTGTTGTAAGCAATGCAGTGCAAGTGTAAGTGTATTCGAGTGTGGTTGTTTTTCATCGATTTTGGGTTTAGAGCAACTTCATTGTGTATTTTCACTTAAGTTGATTACTATTTCGATTATGAGTCTGAGGAAGTAATTTTCGAGAAATTAATCTATGAGAAAGCATATAACCGATATATGTATGTGCATATACTCCTGGATAATAGCATAACTGCATAAATTGAACTAGGAGTTAACTCACAGAAATAGTGTTAAGTCCTAATAATGTTAAGTGAAAACCGGACTATAAAAGTATGAATTATTATTTTGAAAAAAAGAAGTTTTAAAATAAAGTGTGCTGAATGTCTACAGCTTGGAGTAAGGAGCTGTTAGAAAGGAAACTCACCGAATAACATCAGGCAAATCAAAGATAAAATATAATAAAATATAGAAGTAACAACTTTCGAAACATTCACTGTTCGAAGGGCAAGCAACAAACAAGTTCCGGAATAACGTCTCAAAATGCGAACTTACGCATACCAGGATACCGCAAAAGGGTTTTATAAATGATGCCGTCATACCACGATTCGCACGAAACGCTCAATTTTTGGGGATACAATTGTGTTTCCTGAACCACACGAGAATTCGACTCACCACAATAGCGACAATTTTGTTTGTTGACGAATCTATTAAGCCAAAAAGGGGCTTATCTGAGGAAATGATTCTTCGATGCACGTGAATTTTTGAATTTTTCGGAGAACGGAGAAATTTGCGTGATAATCTTGTAGATTTCGAAGCGTTGTACCAAAGTGAAACGTGACGTGATAAAATGGCAAAAGTTACTGAACACACTGACAAAATTTAACACAAGCTGTCAAAATCACGTCATCCCTGTTGTTGTTGTTGTTGTAGCGGCAGAATTCTACCGAGTTGACAGACCTTGGCCGGAATAAATCCGGGTCCGTTCCGGTTACGTAGACCCAACTGTCGTGGGAACGGTCACGTCATCGCTATTGGTAGACGCTGTATATGCTATAGTGATCCGATCTAAAAAATTACTTCGAAGATTACATTATTGCCTTAGATAATAATCATGCCAAATTCGTGTAGATATCTTGCCAAATAAGAAAGTTTTAAAGAACTTAATTTGGATCTATATCTATCTTGCCAAATAAGAAAGTTTTCAAGAACTTAGTTTGGGCGGTTTGCATGGCAGCTATATGCTATTGTGCTCTGATATCGGTGATTCCAACAAATGAGTAGCTTACTGGAGGAAAAAAAGACCAATTCAATGAGGGACTTGTTAGCGAATGTACAGACAGACGGAGAGACGGACATGGCTAAACCAACTCAGAACGTTACGCTGATCATGTATGTGTATGTGATTATATTTATTTCTCACACCGATAGATAGTAGTACCTCTTGGTAGCTTTTAGCTTTTAATTATTCGGCTATTTTATTAAAAACCTCCAATACTTCTATTGTACTACTTCCAACACAATACCTTAGCTCCTATTTTGGAAATCATTTGTTTGTAAACACCACTTTCGGAGTACATAGAATATAATGTAAAACAATAGGTGGTCTTAAGAACGATTTTTGGCAATTAGAAGCCATCATTATTTACATATGTGTGTGTGTGTGTGTATGGTAATAAGCAGAAAGATATCAAGTCCGCAGGGACAGGCTTCCAGCCAACCTACTGTAAGTGCCAAAGTAGCTCCTTAATTACTTGAATATGGTATCCTAAATAACAGTTAGCGAGTACGAGATATATTCCTATTTGAATGGCTGTTATTGTTGCCTGGTATTGCTGTTAATGTCAAAGCAAGTTATTGCAGCACACACAAGTGGTGAGAAACAATAAACAAACAAAGGCAATGAACAAATACCCCTTCGCAACTCCCAGGAATGGAATGCATTCAGGCATTGCAAGGCACTAGAAGCAAAACAAGCTTTGGGCCCATCAAGCGTGCACATAAAACACCTGTCTGATCCTAGCTTATAATTGAGATTTCAAACACATGCTTACATAAGCTGACTTATGAATTTGGTACTCCTCTAGATATGCTTTATTCCAATAAGTGTGTATAGGTAGGCAATGACTTGCGAAGCAATAAATTTAGGCAATGTGTACGCCCACATTAAGTGGTAAACACAAAGGCAAATGTTTATAACAAAATGGTAGATTACCACGAACACCAATTACAAGTTGGTGAGGGAGAGTAGCCTTTGAATTATAGCATCCAGAACGGTAGGCAAGTGCAATGCAATTGATTGCTTTGCCGACGACATGAGGCAAATGACCAGTAGGCACTGCCTATCGACCAGGCACACGGACGAAACGGAAATAGCCACCGATTCAATTGCGCTCGCCAACTGCACGCAGTTTCTACGGAACGTTTGTTGCTTAAGGCATTGCGTGGCTGGCATGAAATGCCGAATAACGGCGCTTAAAGCGCCAAACTAAACATTATGGCAAAAGTGAAGTTGCGTGAGGAATTTGTGTATAAACACTCATCACTCATAAGGAAATCGGGGGTTATTGTACGCAATAAATTCATTTGAATGACTTTTAGTGTTGCAATTAAAAATTACAGTTTTTTCTTGCTTTGTGTGATTTTTGCGTTTCTGCATTCTGTGGTGTATAAGTGGTGTATAAATTAGACTGAACTCTGGGAAAGTCGTGACGAAAACGACGGTGGTTAAGCAATTCGCTCTAAAGCATATTTAATTTATTTGATTGAACTAAATGGTAGCACAGACTTCACCAGTTGCTTTGTTGAGAACCCTTTGCTTTGATAATTATTGAAAAACGCTGCAGATAGTAAGCTGTTATCGTTCCCAAAATGCCCTAACTCCCGCCGTGTGACTCAGAATTTTCACAATAATAAGGATAATCATTAGCAGACAGCAGCAATGGATTTTCTTTAATAATTTAGTGATATTTACACTGCTTAATCGTACAGCTGGGGCAAACCGAAAATTTCCTCATGGAAAAAGTTCACAGCACAATGTAGGCTATGCAATAAAAATAACGGCGAATAATATAAAATAACAATACAAAATACAAGAATAAAGTGCGAATACGTCTCGTTGTAGCTGCAAGACCTAAATAAAGTGTTAACCAAGCAGTAGCTGCTGCAATAAGTCAGCAAAGCCCCAACGAAAGCCCCGTTACGCTCCTTTTTTTCCAACACAATTTCATAACATTTCCACATTATTGTGCCGCTGCTGTGCAGCCTTGCCACCTCGCCAGCCGGCGCCGACAGCAATGCGAAAATCGATCGTGTTCCCAGTTGTGAAGCGGTTTTATTCGCTGCTCTGTTTTTTATTTCCCTCACCACGCTTATAGCTATATATGTAGTTGTTGCATTTGTTGTTTTTGCAGACCTTTGCACAGAGCAACTGCGTGAAATTATGTGCTTGCACTACTTTCCGACGCGTGTGCGGATGTAATGCACTTGCCACACGTCGCCGTACAGTGCAACATTGCAAGTGTGCGCGCTTTTTCTCTTCCATTTTGTGCAAGTTTTGTTGCATTGTCGCACTTTAACCGTACGATTATGTGCAGCTGTCAAATGGATTGTACGTTATGGCCTGCGCTCCGCTTTGTGCGGGCTTGTTTGGCGTTTCCTTTAATTTCAGTGTTGCAATTATGATAGATCGCCGACACACTTGCTACACAAAACCCAACCGAGGCAGCCGTGTCAAGATAATAATTACTATTACTTACTCATAGCAGCTTGTTTTCAGAAAGTTTCCTTTAAACTCCTTCGTTGTTGTTGGAATGGGGTACTTTGATTAGGGCGCTTGAAATCTGAGCTTCTGCTCGTCAATATGTAAAATGTAACTGTATTTCTATTTCTACGTTTGTCACCATGCTGATGACTCAACTAGTTAAAACTCGATACACGTACAATATACCTATATGTTATTGAGGGAGAATGAGGGCGAATATATCGCTGCGCAGTTTGCAACTTAATTAATAGCGGTGTGAAAATCTCGCTTATGTGACTCCAAGTTGATCAATGGTCTTGGTCTTCAACAACATTATTCTAAAACTTGACTAGGAATATCGGAATTATATCTTTAATTAGCAAAAAGGATACGTTTTTATGCGAAATTTAAATTAATAATATTTGGAAGGGGCTGTGGATTTGCTTCATGATTCGAGCATCATAAATATGCACTCAATATCATAACACAAGCAGGGCTCATTCATTCGAAACAATCTTTGACCTTTCAGCCGACATTTGTTCACAACAAAGGGTTATATTTGAGAAATTTCATTTAAAACAAGTAAGGAAGGGCTAAGTTCGGATGTAACCGAACATTTTATACTCTCGCAAAGTCAAATGGTATACTCGTTTGAGATTTCTTTGTGGATTGACTGATATTTTCGGTAGAAGGTCAACTATAGGCACTGGGGTCCACATATTTAGTACTTAGGGGTTTGAACAGTTTTGGTTCGATTTAGACAATTTTTGGCCGCAAGGTGGCAAATTAAAAACTAGTACCAACCTTAAAAAACTTCCAGTTTATGAAATTAAAACACATTTTTCGCAGTTTAACACAGACAGTTTTCTTTTTAATTTATTTGAATTGTTTCACCCGCAGGCGATTTATAATCACCTGCCAGCTGTACTCATGCTACATCTGTATATTTGTCGCTAATACTCAAATGTTTATGTAAGTGAAATATAAAAATAAAGTAATTATTGACGTAGTTGCACTAAAAGCGCAGATAATGCGAGTATTACATACATACACACAAATGGAAGCAGCTTATCGCTTAAACACTTAGCTAATACAATATTAAGGAGACTGTACATAATTAAAACGAAATGCATTTACAGTATTTATTTCAACAAAATTGCCAACCAAATTCCATATTAAGACGAAGTAAATGCGCTTTAATGCCAACATAATTACATGGACCAAAGCACTACAAGCCAAAATGAAAACCATGTATGTGTATTTATATATGTGTGCATTAAGGCAGTTGGCCAATTTGATTTTATGGTCTGCTGTCTTGCCGCTTTTGTTACTATTCTTTAATGCACACAAATGTATTATTATAAATATTTACTTATATTAATGTTTGCTCTGTGCTTCCAACTTGATATTTTAATTACACATATATATATATATATTGTATTTACAGTCGTCGAATTAGACTACTTCCAATATGATATATTTTACACTCAAAATCTATTTTGACCTGGACTGGGCCATTTAAACTATGCGCGCAAACTGAATCGATAAAAATAATTTTGCTTGAATGGTATAACTCTTTTTGCATCTCCAAATGGGAAGTATTGTGTGTTTGGCAGCTGTTTGTTTATATTGCGAAAGGTTTGTCTGGCGATTTTCCATGAAAAAAATTTAATAACGAGCTTGCTGGAAATTTTATAATTTTATCTTTTCAATGGAATCACGGCTACGAAATCGTTGAAAATTTTACAGACGTATTTTCGGAAGTCTTCCAGATCAAGAACACAGGTATATGAGTGGTCATGAAATCATGCGAGTTGTCCAACCACCTCTGTTAATAACGATAATATCGAAAAAGTTAAAGAAACAGTGCTTGAAAATTGACGTGTTAGCTTCAGGCAGATAGCAGAGGATCGCTTATGGGTCGACTCAAGACGTTTTTGTTAATGTTGAAGATGTGAAGCGTGCCAGACCTGTGACTGACTTTTTGGCCAAACACAAAACGAGAAAATTTTGGAAACTGAAAAGTCTGCTTAGGGAAAAGCGCCATGAGTCTATGGACACCATATATAAAAACCGCCAGATAAGCTTTTAGTAAAAAAGCGATCGGATTTGCTGATTTTGTAGAAGTTAAATCAATCCGAGCTTTGAAGGAGAAGGAAGAGCAGTTCGTTAGGAAAATATCACGAAAAGACAACAGCCATTGCAGTAGTGTAGTTAATAGAATTTTCATTCTAATTACATATAAATAAAGTTGAATAATTACCAAAGTAAAGCAAAACTAAACTCAATGCACTGAAAAGTGGCTTACTCACATTTCATTTGATTTTATTGTAAAGTTTATGTTGCTTCTAATATACATAACAATTTTGCTCTGCCGTTTGCTAACGAATATGCTTGTATTGAGTTATACATTATGTAATAACTTTTATGTAATATAGATATATTTACAGTATTTTCAACAACCAAACTTCATCTCGTGTGTTTTTCTTAATTTCATGCAATTTCTACTGAACAAATCAATTTATTGCTAGCATAAAGTATCTCACAAACCTTAATTGTAATAAGTTAGCTACAATAGTTCAATGTTGCGTATACGTCGCGCGGACCTTAAAGTCAGCACAATACCATAAAACACACTCTGGCATGCATACAACTTACTAGTCAGTTTCTTACACACTTTTATTTCCTTTGCACTAACTTAAGTTTAGTTTGCCTTTGGTTAACATTACTTATACTATTTTGTGTTTTATTGACTTTCGTTATTGTGCACGCTTGCGTATGTGTGTCGATGCAGGTAGGTGTTAGTGTTAGTGTGTGGATAATTTGTTGCGTTTATGCTTCGGTGCTCAATAGTAATTGACATATTATTGTTAGTATTGTGATGGCGGTCAGCAGACGCAGACTGGAGAGGAAATTTCCCAAAGGATGTAGCCGAGTGGCAGACCCACGTACTGGAAGGAGAAAATTGAAAGAAAAAGAAGAAGAAAATTAATGAAATTTAGTTATAAATATCTCTTACTCTGCTGCTTAAAAAACGATTGCCAGCGGAAGTGCTGTTGCAACGCAAACTATTTGGCTGACTTTCATGCGAGCCACAGAGTTTGGATGCCTGTCTCGTGAAGACAACGTCAGCATTTCAAGTGTTGAGCAATCAACTGCGGATTCAACCAGCTGCTACTAACAAAACTATGAGTCAACAGCATTGGCATTGGCAATAAATGCAGTTTCGGACACTGCGGTCAACCATAAATACACACGTACGTCTGTAAGGGCGGACAGGATGATTGGCAGTGTGCGTGTGTGTGTGTGTGTGTGTGTAGAGCGATTGCACCCGGTACTCAGAGATGCCGCACACGTACTGTGCCGTTACTACGGCGATGAGCTTGTAGGACAGAATGTTGGCAGTGACCATAAATGGCGGCAACATTGAAATTCAAGTCAACGCCGCAGCATAAGACAAAGGCAGGGCATTGAATAGCAAGCGGAAAAATTGCACAGATGGTCGTGATGGCAAGCAGCACAGCTCGCGTATTCGTTCAATGCAATTTCATCGCAATTGTGGTGCATTAAATTGAATTTTCCGGGCGCGAAAAAATAATGCAGTTTTTGATTTCGCTCCGAAACGGAATCGAACGACAGAAGATCAATGTATGTTTAAGCGCTTTGGAAAATTACTACGCAAAACAAGTGAAAGTCAATTTAAGATAGTTAATTTTGCGGACGCTCCATTTTTTTTACGGACAAACTATAAACAAGCTAGTTTAAGTAAAAGCTGAGGTTGCTCAAAACTCGAATTTTCCACTGGTGTAAAGTACAAGCTTTAAAGCTTTATGCAACGCAGTGCGAAGATGTTTGAACAAAGTCAAAAAGTTTAAATAAAATAATAGTCTTTTTCAAGATTCTTAGAAACCTATTAATTTTGAAAAAAAATTAATAAAAATCTATAAATCCATAAAAGAGTTCACCATTATTATTAAACACCTACGGATTTGAGCTTGGTTTGGTAAATGTGGAAGTGGGCTATAAACTCAAAGTGTTTCTCAGTTTTGCAAATCAGCGCCTTGCCTATCAGTTTCCGCTAAACGATTAGTGAACTAAAAACCACTACAAGAAAGCAAATCACTATTTTTAATAAACTATTTGAAATGTACAACGAGTACTGAGCATTTAAGATATGCTACATTGAAAGGCGTTGAATTGTTTTCAAGTTTATTTAAGTTTTTCGCGCTTTTAACTCACCTAGTAGCATTGCCTCTCGATTGTCAATAATGCCACGGCGTCGCTGTAACACGCTCTCCTTGTCGCCGCTCCACAACACCGGCGATATGCTGGCCAGGCATTTCACGCGCATCTCGCCGTCCTGAAAGTGACGTCCATCAACTGTCAACTCAAGGCCGAGCATTGACGTTATGAGGCCATGTTTGTGTACGGTGTCATTGTAGGCTATCAGATAGCTGTCGTCGACCACCTGAAATGCATAGAACAAACATATACACACACATGCATAATTCATATCAAAGCACGAGCGTGGTACCTGGGTGCCCAACATAGCGCCGCTAAAGCGAGCCAAACGATAAATGAACTTGTAAGGAAGGTCTAAGTTCGGGTGTAACCGAACATTTTATACTCTCGCAACTTGCAAGGATGTCATCACAAAAATATTCTCCACGTTACTAGACCGCACAAATTGACTTGTTCTATACTTATATAAAACAGCAATATGCACTGGGGTCCACATATTTGGTGTCTGAGTCCTTGAAAAGTTATAGTCCGATTTCGACAATTGGGGCTTAGAAGCACTATTTGTGCAAAATTTGATTCTGATAAATTCATTTGTCTTTGATTTGTATACTGTAAAGTGAAATAGTCAGATAGAAGTTGTTGTATGGGAAGTGGGTGTGGTCGTTATCCGATTATCATAGCACACCAAATAGTAGTTCCTGAGATATAGAAGTCCACCTAGACGTGGGTGGTGCCACGCCCATTGTCCAATTTTTATATTCGCTCCTATAAAGCCCTTCCTATCTTGGGTGTGAAATTTAATGCGTCATTCAGTGAGTTATCGCACTTTTAGTAATTTTCAACATAACCGTTATATGGGGAGTGGACAGGGTTATTATCTGATTTTATCTTCACTTTCACCGTGTGTCAAGGGACTTTTTATCAGCTGGTTCGTTTGATGTAAGTTTAGCAGTTTGGAACATATGTGCATTAAACCATTTACGCGGATAGGCTAAGCCTACTTTAAAAAACCTTTGGGCCCACAAGTGTCCCTAGCTATTGGGAGCTCCTGTACCAAATTACAGTTTTGTTTCTTAATTTGCGGCTTAGTTTTGGCATTTTATAAGTTTTTGATTAATGGTAATGGTCCGATTACGCCCATCTGCAATACCAACCGTCTTACGATACCAAGAAATATTTGTACCAACTTTCATAAAGATATCTTAATTTTTACTCAAGATATCGCTTGCACAGACAGACGAACGGATAGACAGCCACTCGGAATTCAACTCGCCTTGTCATCCTGACTATTTATTTATATATAATCCTATATCTAACTCGATTATTGTTAGGCGATAAAAACGAGTGTTAGGTGAACAAAACTATTAAACTCTGTAGCAACATGTTGCGAGAGTATAAAAGTGCTGACTTAGCGTTTGCCAATGCGAGGTATAAACTAGTGAAAATCGCTGCTCGTTGAATGGATGAGCTAAACGGCTGTATGTTGCAATGACGCAACACTAGAGATTTTTATTTTTAATTAAACGCTGCTAGCCGACTAATGGTTATGCACAACCCACGATGGCAAAACAGCATTTAAAATTGTGTCATGGCTCAACGGGTGAAAGTGTTGGCAGCTTTGGCAGCTGTCGCCAGTGATTGGCAATTGCGGATGGCAGAGTTTCTACTCGCACTTTATTACAGTATGGGGTTAAACAATCTATGCATATGCAGCTGGGCCTTGCAGCTAAATGCAACGGATAGGTGAAGTATTTTTTAATTTATATATGTTGTTAAGTTATATAAAATGATAATTTAAATATAATATTTTAAAGTATTTGGCACTAAGAATGGGTGTCTTTTGGCTTTTGACATTCTAAAAGTTTATATGCTAAGAAATTAAATGATATCTGAGTACAAAATATGGTACAAATCATCCATATATCTGATTTCTCTACAGTAAACTTAGATCTAAAAATATTATGCAATGGTTCAAAAATTTTAAAAAGCGGAAAGAATTTGAGTAGGATGAAACCCCTTGGCAAAAGAAAATAAAATAACAAAAATGAAGGGAAAACTAATTTACGGCGCTCTGATGTCGGGAAGAGGAAAGAGAGGTGGTGGTCTAATATTTAGCTGTTAAAAACAGTTTATCTCGATTTCCAACAAAACTACGAGTCCTATGAAAAAAAGTAAAATGGCAAAGTTTCAGGTAGTAAAAATATCTACAACTTTTATGTTAATACTTGTAATTTTAAGCTATTGCATAGCTTTTATCGCGGGCTTTGAGCGCGGTAACCGAATAAAAAAATTCGATAACGGAAATGAACCTAATACGATCACAAAGTACGCGCAAAATATTTGAATACTCTTAGGCGTATTTTCGCATATTTCAAGCGCAACAAGTAAATTGAGGAGCAGGGTGATTCAAAAATAATAATATTTAAGATGCAATTTTTTAATGGCAAATAAAAATATATACTTTAATAAAATTATAATTAATAAAAAATAAATTATTGAATATTCGAAGTCATAATATTACAAGTAGTAACATTATTTTTATTTTGGAACAGTATCTCGTTTGAATTGGACAATACAATTGAAATTATGTATTTCGATCGGATTATCAATGGTAATAATCTTCCACTTATCTTGGCTGGCGATTTCAACATCAACTTCGCTGATAAAATCAGAGCGACTGAAAACTTTTCTTACGGAAAAAATTAATTTAAAAATGAATAATAACCCACAAGAATCCACAACAAAATATGGTGGTACCATTGACGCGGTATTTAGAGAATATCAAGTCTCAAACTTATGCTTCTTATTTCAGTTATCATTAACTGGAATAAACCACATGTATTGTAAGGTAATAAAAATATTTTAAACAATATAAACTTCACATTTATTTAATAAAAAAACTGTTTTCTTATCGGTCATCACGCTCAAAAAGTGTAACTTGAATTAATATCAAAGAAAAAATGAATAAATAATTACAATTGCATAAGTTGATAAATGCTATGCAATAGCTATACCGCGGCAGTCCCCGAGTGCCACACGTATTTTTTTTTCTTTACTTGAGTAGTGTTGAGAGTATTGTAAAAGTTTTAATTCAACTAAAAGACATCCATTTCTGATTGTGTAAATACACATACATTATATTGTAAGTTTTCTCAGAAAATGCAAAAAAAGACTTCCAAACTATTCGAAGTGGTTGGTTTTTTACTACGAAGTAAGAAGTGGATGATCATTTATCCCACTACGGTTTTTTTCTTTCTACTTTTTTCAAAGGCTAAATACGTATAATTATTAATTATGATAATTTTTTCTAATTGTAATATTTCATTTATTTCATTTTATATAACAATATGTCGCAAATTACAAAAACAACACACATACAGTTTCAATTTCTTCTTTGTATTACCAAAAAAGTCGTTTGCTTTGTTAACCGAATCAGATTTTATGTTATAACTTTAGGTCAACGCAACATTGACTTTGACACAACCGCAGACCATAGCATATGCGGCAAAAACTCACATGGCCAACCAGCATTTCTGCCATATATCACATATATCATGTAAGTATAACTATGTACGTAACAAACAAATGCAGCAGCCGCAAAGCATCCTTTTATTAATTTGCCTATTCTGAATAAACTGTTTTTATAATAATATATTTGCTTTTAGATTGCAGAAAGGCATAGGTTTCATCAAAGTGGTTGCCCAACACGAGCTTCGACTGGATGAATGCTGCGACTTTGTCATATGTACGAGTATATACTAGAGTAGTGTTGACAGTTTTGTGAAAGGCTTTGTTCAACTAAAAATATTAAATTTAGTTAAGATCAAATCAACGTATTATATCAAATATTATTATCTGCAAAAAACTTTTTAAGTACCAAGAGTAAATTTAAAAACTTGTTGTCTTGAACACTTTCGAAAATAAAATCTGTCGAAAATAAAACGTTTCTAATCAAATTTCAAGCGTGTGTTTAATTACACAATGAGCACTCAATTTCTCGAGTCCCTGCTTCCAAACTAAACTATACAAAATATCAAACTGGCAAACCCTTTTTGAACGATTATTCCAACATTCCATACAATTTTACTTCTTTAGCATCCATCAATTGTCGAATCGAGGTCACGGTGCACCCCAACAATTTGGCCAAACATCTGTCACTAAGGGCATCTCATTATTATATACGAGTATGTATATTACGTATATAAAAAGTTGTTTACTCTATTTCTGACATATTCTCAAATACATTTTTACTCTTTGTCTCTCCAGAAGTCTAGCGCATTTCGCATATTCCTGCTCGACAAATCTTCCCCTGTCATCAGCATCTGGAAATTGGCTTGAGCGCACACCGCGCCCACAAAGCGCGCGCCAGTCTTACCGGCATTGACGCAGAGACAATTTTCTTTCATAAATATTTAAAGAGTAAAGTACCGCAATGGGTTTTCACCAATTTTCCAGACATTTTAGCAGCACAGCAAGACGATGCCAGTCTGCACCGTTCAGCCCGGTACGGCGGAAGACCGACAACGTCAAACCAAGCAGCGCGGTGATAATCTCCTTGACTAACTTGGTCTCGTTGCTTTCTTGCTTTGGGGCATGTGTTGTTGCTGTGAATGCTAGTAAGCAGCACAACAGTTTTAATTTTTTATTGTTAGAATATAGTGCTCCATTTGCTGAATATATTTGCATTCATGGCAAACTGCTCGCCCAAGCTTCAAGCCTTTCTCGCATTTTCGCACATAACCATCAGCACAATCACATCCATACACACATATATGCTTATATGCTTCATGCAACAAATTAAGCAATGCATAGCCGAAGACTTAGAGAATTAGTGGCATGAAAACAAATCGAGTCCATAAAATACCCACACATAGGTTTGCAGCGCAGAAAACTCAATGTCTTCCGTGGGCCAGGCGGCGCCATCTCGGGCGCTGAATATCTGCCAAGCAACATATGTGGCTGCTGCTTTAATGCGAAGTGCAAGTTGCAAGATGCAAAAAAGCACTCAACAAAATGAAATTTGCGCCCATTCACGTTTCTCTCGTCTCAGTGTGTATGTGTGTGTGTGTTCGTTCCCTTATATTCGCAGGCGCACGTGTGTGTCAAGTAAACGACTGGCGGAATGAAAAGGCGATGCGGAAGTATTCATTCCGAGTTGAATGCGATTTTCAGTGCAAATAAAATCTTAGCGAATCGCACTGTGTAAACACCGAGATGTATGCTGAC